CTCACGTCCATCAAGTTGGTGATGCTATCTACCCATCTCATCCTCTGCCGCCCTCTTCTCCTTTAACCTTCAATCTTTCCCAGCATCAGGATCTTTTCCAATGAGTCAGCAATGGCAACCCACTCCAGTACTCTTGCCTGGAAAATCCCATGGACGGGGGAGCCTGGTAGGCTGCAGTCCATGGGGTTGCTAAGAGTCGGACACGACTGAGTGACTTCACTTTCACTTTTCACATTCGTGCACTGGAGAAGGAACTAGCAACCCACTCCAGTGTTCTTGCCTGGAGAATCCCATGGACGGCGGAGCCTGGTAGGCCGCCGTCTATGGGCTCGCACAGGGTTGAACATGACTGAAGTGACTTAGCAGCAGCAGCAGCCAAATTATCAGAGCTTCAGCTTCAGCATCAGTCCTTCCAATGAATATTCAGTGTTGATTTCCTTTAGGATTGACTGGTTCGATCTCCTTACAGCCCAAAGGACTTTCAAGAGTCTCCTTTAACATCACAATTCAAAAGCATCAATTCTTCAGCCCTCAGCCTTCTTAAGGACTTCCCTTGTGTCTCAGCCGGTAAAGAATCTGCCTGCAATGCGGGAAACCTGAGTTCGATCCCTGGGTTGGGAGATCCCCTGGAGAAGAGAACGGCTGCCCACTCCAGTATTCTGGCCTGGAGAATTCCATGGACTGCATAGTCCATGGGGTGGCAGAGTCAGACATGACTGAGCAGCTTTCACTTCACAGCCTATTAATGGCCCAACTCTTATATCCATACATGACTACTGAAAAAACCATAGCTTTGACTTATATGGACTTCTGTTGACAACATGATGGATCTGCTTTTTAATACTCTGTCTAGGTTTGTCATAGCTCTCCTTCCAAGAAACAAACATCTTTTAATTTCGTAGCTGCAGTCACTGTTCAAAGTGATTTTGGAACCCAAGAAAATAAAATCTGTCACTGCTTCCAATTTTTCCCCATGTATATGCCATGAAGTGATGGGACAGGATGCCATGATCATCGTATTTTGAATGTTGAATTTTAAGCCAGTTTTTTCCACTCTCCTCTTTCATCCTCATCAAGAGATTCTTTAGTTCCTCTTCACTTTCTGCCATTAGAATGATATCATCTCCATATCTGAGGTTGTTGATGTTTCTCCTGGCAATCTTGATTCTAGCTTGTGAGTCATCCAGCCTGGCATTTTGCATGATGTACTCTGCATATAAATTAAATAAAGTGACACTATACAGCATTTTAATAATACTCCTTTCCCAATTTTGAACCAGTCTATTGTTCCACATCCAGTTCTAACTGTTTCTTCTTGACCTCCATACAGGTTTTCAGGAGACAGGTAATGTGGTCTGGTATTCATGTCTCTTACAGAATTTCCCACAGATAGTTGTGATCCACACAGTCAAAGTCTTTCATATAGTCAATGAAGCAGATGCTTTTCTGGAATTTCCTTTCTTTCTCTATAATCCTATGAGCTCTATGATCCTATGAAAGTTGGTAACTTGATCTGCATTTCCTCTGCCTTTTCTAAACCCAGATTGTACATCAGTCCACATACTGCTGAAGTCTTGCTTGAAAGATTCTGAGCACAACCTTACTAGCATGCAAAATGAGTGCAATTGTATGGTAGTTTGAGCATTCCTTGGCATTGCCCTTCTTTGGGATTGGAATGAAAATTGAAAAAAAAAGAAAGAAAATTGACCTTTTCCAGTCCTGTGGCCACTGCTGAGTTTTCCAAATTTGTTGGCATATTGAGTGCAGCACTTCAACAGCATCTCCTTTTAGGATTTGAAATAGCTCAGCTGGAATTCTATTACCTTCACTAGCTTTGTTCGTAGTAATGCTTTGAAGTTAAGTTCCACTTGACTTCACACTGCAGGATGTCTGGCTCTAGGTGAGTGACCACACCATCGTGGTTATCCAGGACATTAAGATCTTTTTTGTACAGTTCTTCTGTGTATTCTTGCCACCTCTTCCTAATCTCTTCTGCTTATCTTAGGTCCTTATCATTTCTGTCCTTTATCATATTAATCCCACCTAGATTGAGATATACTTGACAGTATTACATAGGTGAGGATCATGTCATTATTCAGATTTTTGTCCCTATGGCTTCAATTATCATTATGTAATTTCACTTTCTACATCCAATGTAGCTATATTTGAAACCACAAAAACAAGGCAATGGGTTCTAAGAGCTAGTGCTTTTAAATCTAAAATAGGACTCTCACTGTTCCATTATTAAAGACTATGATTCAGTGTTATTACTATGGATTAGTTAGGGACAGTGAATCCATGCCACATTCCAACAGCTGTTCATCTGGCACCCACACAACAGTAAGGATACTGTTTTTGCAACAGAGAATCTTTCTCACCGCAGTACACCAGACCCCTACAACCAAGAGATCCAAGTAGCCCTAAGCTAAAACCTAAAACCTAAGTTGTACAATAAGCTTGATAGTAAACTTGATTCTCTCGTCCCAACTACAGGACACTACTTGGAATGTTCAGAAGGTCAGCTTGCTACAGTTGTATAGACTTCAACCAAAAGATCTCAACAAATATCTATTGTAAATAAACAAACAACTCAAAGAAATCTACAGATTCAATGCAATCCCTATTAAATTACCAATGGCATTTTTCACAGAATTAGAACAAAAATTTTACATTTTGTATGGAAACACAAAATACCCTGAGTAGCCAAGGCAATTTTGAGAAAAACAAAGAAGAAAAATGAAGCTAGGAGGAATCACGTGCCCTGTCTTCAGACTATGCCACAAATCTACAGTAATTGAAACAGTATGCTACTGGCACCAAAACCAGAAATATAGATCAATGGAATAGGACAAAAGCCCAGAGATAAACCCACGCACCTGTGGTCACCTATGGCAAAGGAAGCAAGAATATACAATGGAGAAAAGACAGTCTCTTCAATAAATGTTGCTGGGAAAACTGGACAGCTAGTCATAAAAGAATAAAATTAGAACAATCCCTAACATCATACACAAAAATAAGCTCAAAATAGATTACAGACAGAAATATAAGAAGAGACATTATAAAACTCTTAGATGAAAACATAGTGAGAACTCTGACATAATTGCAGTAAGCTCTTTATTGACCCACCACTTAGAGTAATGAAAATACAATAAAACATAAACAAATACGACCTAATAAAGCTTAAATGCTTCTGCATGGCAAAGAAAACCATAAAAAAATACCAAAAAGATAACCTGCAGAATGGGGGGAAATATTTGCAAATTAAATGAATGACAAAGGATTACTCTCCAAAACAATACAAACAATTCAAGCAGTTCAATATCAAAAATGAATAAATAAATAAAATATCCAATCAAAAAATGGGCAGAAGATTAAAACAGTCTCCAAAAAGACAAGTTTAGTTCAGTTCAGTTCAGTTCAGTAGCTCAGTTGTGTCCAACTCTTTGCAATCCCATGGACTGCAGCACGCCAGGCCTCCCTGTCCATCACCAACTCTCAGAGTTTACCCAAACTCGTGTCCACTGAATCAGTGATGCCATCCAGCCATCTCATCCTCTGTCATCCCTTTCTCCTCCTGCCTTCAATCTTTCCCAGCATCAGGGTCTTTTCAAATTCTCATTTGAGGATTTTAAAAGACAAACAGATGGCCAAAAAGCACATGAAAGATGATCAAATCTCTAATTATTAGAGAAATGCATATCAAACCTACAGTGAGGTTTCACCTCATACCAGTCAGTATGACCATCATCAAAAAGTCTACAAACAATAAATACTGGAGACGATGTGGAGAAAAGGGAACCTTCCGACACTGTTGGTGGGAATATAAACTGGTACATCCACTATGGAGAACAATATGGAGGTTCCTTTAGAAACCTAAAAATAGACCTACCATATGATCCAGCAATCCAAATCCTGCCATATATCTAGAGAAAATCATAATTTCAAAAGATACATGCACCCTAATGTTCACTGCAACACTATTTACTATAGCCAGGACATGGAAGAAACCCCAATGTCCATCAACAAGCAATGGATATGGAAGATGTGATACATTCATACAATGGAGTATTACCCAGCCATAAGAAAGGTGAAATAATGCCATTCGCAGCAACATGGCTGCACCTAGAGACTTTAATATTGAGTGAAGTAAGACAGAGAAAGATAGAGTATGATTCACTTATACAAGGAATCTAACAAACGGTTGCAAATGAAATTACCTACAAAACAGAGGTAGAGTTACAAATGTAGAAAATAAATTTATGGTTACCAGGGGATAAGGGAGTGGTGGGATAAATTGGAAGACTGGGACTGACACAAACATACTACTATATATAAAATATTAAAATAGATAACTAATAAGAAACTACTGTAAAGTACATGGAACTCTGGAGTGACATATATGGGAAAAGAATATAAAAAAGAGTGGCTATATTTTATGTATATCAGATTCACTTTGCTGTACACCTGAAACCAAGACAACAAACCAAGACAACTATACCCCAATAAAACTTAAAAGAATGGTCCAAACGAGCCAAAGAAGGGGCCCAACGCGCCACAGTCCTGCTGGAGTAGACCTGGTCTTTGCTCCTAAGACTCTGAAAGCCAAAGACAGGCATTCTTTTCTAAAGGACAATGTACTTGAAGCATTTATTGAGATGCAAATTACTAAAACAAATGATACATGCACCCCAATGTTCATAGGATATGGAAAAAATCTTTTTAAAAGTGAAGATACATAAATAGACTCACTTGGCTGTACACCTGAAGCTAACATATTGTAAAGCAACCATATGCTAATCAAATTTTTTTTAAAAAGAGGGCTCAACAAGGACCTATTGTAAATAAATAAATAGGAAAAATGATAAAAGTTCTCAAGAAACAAATGACTTCACATGGACCACACTGAGGAGTCACATGCTGCAAACACTTTAATACAATTCATTAGAACCAAATAGTACATATTAGACAAAATGGTAAGAGTGTAATAACTACAAACAAAGCTATAAACTGTTAACATACCATAAGTATTCACATCCATACATACTTTCTACCAGAATCAGGGCCCCAAAAGCAACAACAGTGACAAAGATGGCACAGATGACATCCACATACACAGCGAGCCATCGGCACGTTGTCAAAAGCAGGAACCAAGCCTCTGGATTTGTGAATCGTTAAACATAATACATAGACAGAAAAACCACATTAGCTGCTTCTCATGAGGGATAACATTTTCTCAGTTGAGCTACAGAAGATTTTACACAGCTAGGACAGCAAAGATACACACCCAAGAAACCTGGAGATTCCAAAAAACTAGGTTCTAACACAAAACAACATATGGGACATTCAGGAATCAGTCCAGGAAGCATGCTTTGAAAACTTCAACTCACAGGTTATCAACAGAAATACGATCATAAGAGAGAAGGCAGTAAATCATCTCATTGGCATGTTCCCTGCAATGCTGGGCCTCTCACAGGGTCGACTGTTCCCAGCTCTCAGACAGCAGACAGCACAGCTCACACTCTGATTCCAGCACCTTCTGCCCTTACTACAGAGCCCTGCAGTGTTTATTCTTAGGAGCCAGTGTCTACATGTCCATCAGCTAACAGGATCTGCAGGTGGCTTTCAAAATGCCATTTTATCTTTAAAATACAATAATGATTGGAAAGTTTGGCCAGGATTTTATAGACCTGGAGAAAATTCTGAATTTTCTACCTAGGGAAAAAAAAAACTTCACTGATACAAAGCATAATAAAGCAGGTAGCAAATCAGGAAATTATTTTCCTCCATCACGTCCACTACCCTCCATGCTCTGAAAACAGCTGGCAAACCACAGCCTGGGGGACAATAACACTCACCACTGGTTCTGAGAATAAAGTTTTATTGGAACACAGCTGCAGCCATTTGCTGATGTATTTATTATCTTTGCCTGTCTTTGTGCTACAGCAGCAAAGGTGAGTAGTTGCAACAGAGATGGTACAGCACACAAAGACTATGATATTTTCTATCTGGACCTTTGCAAAAAAAGAAAAGCTTGCTGATTCCTGCTCTAAAAAGACAGAAAGCCATGGGGCACAGTGATGGAAGGACAATACGAGCCAGTCAGGGAGAAAAACAAGGGTGTGACAGAGGAAGAGGGGAGCACAGATGGGATGCTGAGAGGAAGGGGTAGGGGAGGCAGGTGTGCAGAGGGGGATGAGGGGTGGTACAGAGAGATATACTGGCCAGCAAGACCACCTGAGAGGGAGGTCAGGCCTCAGAAGGCAGCACATCCCATCCTTTGAAATCATCTCCAGAAACTTACAGACCTGAATGCAAGTCCTGGTGTGAGTCAAACACTTCCTGAAACTTCTGTTCAGCTTTGCACGCCTGGATGGTCCAGAGTCCCCGGAGAGAAGATGCTAAGTGGGAAAATAACGGGCTCCATGCTGGGGAGGCAGAGACAGACACACGACAGAGAAAGTCAGGGAGGCTGGAGGCGAGGAGACCAGCTGCCTCAAGTGCTCTGTAGTCACACATCCTGCCAAAGGGAATCCTCCATGTGACCCTCAAACTCCTGCTCACACCACACTTCACTTTAATGACCTGGGAATGAAAGATTCTCTTTGACACTATCTTTGATCAAATTCAAATCACAGCTAGATTTAGATAAAGAAATTCTTTACTGGTTCTTTCATCAAGGTCCTCTCAAACATGCCTCCTTCCAAATTCTTCTGGCATCTCACCAGGTGGAAGTTGTTCACAAATTTTAACAAATATATTGAAGTATAGTTAATCTGCAATAATGTGTTAATTTCAGGCATACAGTATAGTCATTCAGTTATTTTTTTCTGATTATATTCCATTACAGGTTATTATAAGACACTGAATAAAATTCCCTGTGCTTTACAGTAAACCTTTGTTGTTATCTATCTAACAAATTTATAGTAGTGTGTCTATTAATCCCATACTTCTAGTTTGTTCCTCCCTCTCTCCCAATCCCCTTTAGTAACCATAAGTTTGTTTTCTGTCTCTGAATATTTATCTATTTTGTATACAGATTCATTTACACTATTTTTAGATTCCATATGTAAGTGATATCATATTTATCTTACTCTGACCTACTTTACTAAGAATATTATTCTCTAAATCCATCCATGTTACTGAAAATTGCAATATTTCATTCTTTTTCATGGGTGAGTAATTACTGTTCACTAATTTTTGAATCAGTAGAATTTTAAAATTTAATTCCTCATTAGAGTCCTCACCACACTGAATTTTGATGAGCTATCTGTGTTTTGTTCCTCCTAAGGTTGGGATAGAGTCAGTACACCCCCACCCTGGACCAGAGCCAGACCCAGGACAGGGGGAGACGAGCAAGGGGAGCAGACACTCTGCCATCTCCCCCATCTGGGGCTCTCCCTGCATCTGCAGCAGGAGTCTCTGTGTGGGTCACGGAGCACCTGGTACTGCACCGCCCTTGTGCCCACAGGACCCGGCAGATGAGGAGTCTTTGAATAGTCTTGACTTCTGCTCCAGGAACCTGATGGATGTTTTTATATCTGCCTGCTGGATACCTGTCCTGGTGTTCAGAGGTCACTGCAGCATGTGACACTCACATCACTCTTTAAGAATCTGACAGTGTCCTTAGTGCTTCTTCTCTTTTGAGTGACTTCATGTGGCTTGGGGTCTGGTGTCACATGGCTGGTCATTCATTTCCTGCCATCTTCTCTAAAAGCACACTGACCATGAGCACCAAGGTCAGGTTCCTGCCCATCAGGGAACAGGAGGGGTGCAGGCTGCCAGGCAGGGAGGACCCCTTACAGTTCTCATTCCCCACCATGAACGAGGCTATAACTTGCTGTTGTCAGGAGCAGACAGTGAGTCTGTGACCTCTGTGTGGGATGAGTGATAACTTGTTCTGTATCAGCATGAAATACTGACATCACTTTGTTACCTGTGTGTCTCCTAGAGAAGACCTGTTAGTACGAGGTTGTTTATGGGAAGTTAGTAATGCATCTTACAGGGGACTAGAGAGACTTTATAAAATGATGGGGAAAGAATCAAGGGGGAAACTTCAAACTGTTTTCAGATCCTCACTCCTTAGTCCAGAATCTGAATGCCTGTCTGGTACAGTTCAATCAGTACCAACATACACCTGGGCACTGCATGTTTGGAGGGCTTGAGGTACAAAAGGTAAAGACACAGAACCTCCTTTTGTGTTTAGTGTCCCCAGTTCAATAAGGAAGGAAGGAGCAGGCTTCCTCCTGTGAGACACTGGGGCTCATAGAGGATGGAAAGCCCTGGACTAGGGGAGGACAGCCTGGGCTAGGGGCCAGGTGACCATCCACTCAGCCCTGGGGCTCTTTCCAACTGGGACATCTGACCAGAAACCTTAACTGTTAGGGACCCTCCACTGTAATACTGCTTTAAGGAAAAACCCTTCTCTGAACTACAACATGATTTAACATTTCCCCTTTGTACTTCATTTAGGCAAAGAGCTGAAAGTGATTCAGTGGTGCTTTTGATCATCCAGTTGTGTACCTGTGTTCTCATTCCAGCTTCCACAGTGCTCTCTCTCTCTTCACTCTACTGAGTAACTTTTTAGCTACCTATAACTTTGTGCTTGTAAGAGCAACATAAACTCAGACTGAACTGAAGCTCCAAATAAGAAAGGCTGGGAGCTCTGTTCAGGTCTTGTCTGCAATCCTTCAAGATGTCCCAACCCAGCCCCAGAATTCATCACTCTTGACACAGGGTGCTCACAGGGATGATACAGGTGAATTCCGTGGCCCATCACCCTGTCAGGAGGATTCCAATGGTCCAGCTCCAGAGAGAGGAGAAAACTCACTAGAACCAGGCTCCCATTTCCACTCCATAGAGAGTGACATCAACACTGTTCATCACAGACAGGGCTTCTGAGGAGGAAGTAGACGTGGCTGTTCACCGAGAGAGTCCTGGAATGAACTCTTCACCTTGGTCTCCCTCACTTGCTTCCCTCATCAGATCAAAGCTGCAGGTGATTCTCTCCAGCAGGCTGGAGGGTGGAGCCTACCAGGCTCCTCTGTCCATGGAATTCTCCATGCAAGAATACTGGAGTGGGTTGCCATGCCCTCATCCAGGAGATCTTCCTGAGCCAGGGATCGAACCCACATCTCTTACATCCCCTGCATTGGCAGACACATTCTTTACTGCTAGCACCACCTGGGAAGCCCCATTAATCATCTTTGGTTGAATAAAATCCCTGGCAATCTGGCATGAGAACCCCTTCAAACAACAGACTTGATGATCCATGGTCCTAATACACCTAACACCTTTGCTAACCCTCTGCTAACAATGACAATGGCAAACATTGCTAGTTGATCCCAGCACTTTCAGACAGAATTTGGATATGGCTTCATCATTTAGGCATTGCCAAATGCAAAAAAACTGGCTAGAGAAAGGCAAGAAAATGCCATCCTGGTTTTATGTACTTGTCCACGACTGGCCACTTCTATGATCACTTTTGCAAAAATGTGCCCAAAGCCCTGTTATAATCAACTGTCAATATGTCATCAGATAAAAATGTCAGCAGAAGCTTCCAGGGGCAGTTAGGCCATAGGACCTGAAAATAAATGTTAGGATTCAGTGGTCCTTCAGAGCACAAGGATAAACCAGGCTTATGCCTTCTGGCCACAGCAGTCAGGTGTTCTTCTTTTTGCTGTTGGCTCCAGCAGGGACCTTTAAGATATGCTCTCGCTTGCTCAGTCGTTCAATCATGTCTGACTCTTTGCGACCCCATGGACTATAGCCCACCACACTCCTCTGTCCATCGGATTATCCAGGCAAGAGTACTGTAGTGGGTTGCCATGTCCTCCTCCAAGGGATCTTCTCAACCCAGGGACTGAGCCTGTGTATCCTGCATCTCCTGCACTGGCAGGCAGATTCTTTACCACTGAGCCACCTGGGAAGCCCTAAAATATACTATCAGTTGCTATTTAGAGGAAGCAGCAGTGTTATTATTTATGGCACAGACCCACCTCCCCAGGTCAGTAGGTACCAAATATACTACTGGAGAAGAGCATAGAAATAGTTAGAGAAGGAAGAAAGAGGCTGAGCCAAAGCGGAGACCCAGTCATGGATGTGTCTGCTGGTAAAAATAAAGTCTGATGCTGTAAAGAACAATAATGCACAGGAACCTGGAATGGTAGGTCCATGAATCAAGGTAAATTGGAATTGGTCAAACAGAAGATGGCAAGAGTGAATATCGATATTTTAGGAATCAGTGAACTAAAATGGACGGGAATGGGCATATTTAATTCAGACGACCCTTGTATCTACTACTCTGGGCAAGAATCCCTTAAAAGAAATGGAGTAACCATAATAGTCAACAAAGGAGTCCAAAATGCAGTATTTGGATACTCAAAATCTCAAACACAAGAGAATGATCTCCATTCATTTCCAAGGCAAACCATTCAATATCACAGTAATCCAAGTCCATGCCCCAAACAGTAAAGCAGAAGAAACTGAAGTTGGATGGTTCTATGAAGACCTACAAGACCTTCCAGAACTAACACCAAAAAGAAAATGCCCTTTTTATCGTAAGGGACTGGAGTGCAAAAGGAGGAAGTCAAGAGATACCTGGAGTAACAGGCAAATTTGGCCTCAGAGTACAAAATGAAGTATGGAAAAGGCTAACAGAACTCTCCAGAGAGCGCAGTGGTCATAGCAACACCCTCTTCCAAAAACACAAGAGATGACTCTACACATGGACATCACCAGATGGTCAATACCGAAATCAGAGGGATTATATTCTTTTGAGCTGAAGGTGGAGAAACTCTACACAGTCAGAAAAAACAAGACAGGGAGCTGTGGCTCAGATCATGAACTTCTTGTTGCAAAATTCAGATTTAAATTGAAGAAAACAGGGAAAACCACTAGGCCATTCAAGTATTATATAAATCAAATCCCTTATGATTATACAGTGTACATGAAAAATAAATCAAGGGATTAGATCTGATAGACAAGACTGCCTGAAAAACTATGAACCAAGGTTCATGACATTGTACAGGAGGCCGTGATCCAAACCATCCCCAAGAAAAAGAAATGAAAAAAAGACAAAATGATTGTCTGGGGAGGCCTTACAAATAGCTGAGAAAAGAAATGAAGTAAAAGGCAAAGAAGAAAAGGAAAAATATACCCATCTGCAGAGTTCCAACAGAGAAGGCGATGGCACCCCACTCCAGTACTCTTGCCAGGAAAATCCATGGAGGGGGGAGCCAGGTAGACTGCAGTCCATGGGGTTGTGAAGAGTTGGACACAACTGAGAGACTTCACTTTCCCTTTTCACTTTCATGCACTGTAGAAGGAAATGGCAACCCACTCCAGTGTTCTTGCCTGGAGAATCCCAGGGAAGGGGGAGCCTGGTGGGCTGCCATCTATGGGGTCGCACAAAGTCGGACATGACTGAAGTGAATTAGCAGCAGAGTTCCAAAGAATAGCAAGGAGAGATAAGAAAGCCTTCCTCACTGATCAATGCAAAGACATAGAGGAAAACAATAGAATGGGAAAGACTAGAGATCGCTTCAAGAATATTAGAGATACCAAAGGAATATTTCATGCAAAGATGGGCACAATAAAGGACAGAAATAGGACGGGCCTAACAGAAGCAGAAGATATTAAGAAGAGGTGGCAAGGATGCACAGAAGAATTATACAAAAAGATCTTAATGACTTGGATAACCACAATGGTGTGATCACTCACCTAAAATCAGACATCCTGGAGTTCAAAGTCAAGTGGGCCTTAGGAAGCATCACTACAAACAAAGCTAGTGGAGGTGATGGAATGCAGCTGAGCTATTTCAAATCCAAAGATGATGCTGTGAAAGTGCTGCACTCAATATGCAAGTAAATTTGGAAAATTCAGCAGTGGCCACAGGACTGGAAAAGATCAGTTTTCATTCCATTTCCAAAGAAAGGCAATGTCAAAAAGTGTTCAAACTACCACACAGATGCACTCATTTCATATGCTAACAAGGTAATATTCAAAATCCTTCAACCTAGGCTTCAACAGTACATGAACTGAGAACTTCCAGATGTACAAGCTGGACTTAGAAAAGGCAGAAAAACTGGAGATCAAATTGCCAACATTTGTTGGATCATAGAAAAAGCAGGAGAATTCCAGAAAACATCTACTTCTGCTTCATTGACTACAATAAAGCCTTTGACTGTGTGGATCACAACAAACTGTGGAAAAGTCTTCAAGAGATGGGAATACCAGACCACCTTACTTTCCTCCTGAGAAATCTGTATGCAGGTCAAGAAGCAATAGTTAGAATGGGACATAGAACAACAGACTGGTTCAAAATTGGGAAAGGAATATGTCAAGGCTGTATATTATCACCCTGCTATTTAACTTGTATGCAGAGTACATCATGCGAAATGCTAGGCTGGATGAAGCAGAAGCTGGAGTCAAGACTGCCAGGAGAAATATCAATAACTTCAGATATGCAGATGACACCCTTATGGCAGAAAGGTAAGAAGAACTAAAGAGTCTCCTGATGAAGGTGAAAGACAAGAGTGAAAAAGCTGACTTAAAACTCAACATTCAGAAAATGAAGATCATGGAATATATGGTCCCATCACTTCATGACAAATAGATGGGGAAACAGTGACAGACATTATTTTCTTGGGTTCCAAAATCACTTTGGATGGTGACTACAGCCATGAAATTAAAAGACGCTTGCTCCTGGAGGAAGAGCTGTGACAAACTTAGATAGCATATTAAAAAGCAGAGACATCAGTTTGCCAACAGCAGTACATATAGTCAAAGCTATGCTTTTTCTAGTAGTACAGATGTGAGAGTTGGACTGTAAAGAAGGCTGAGCATGGAAGAACTGATACTGTTTTGATGTGGTGCTGGAGAAGATTCTTGGGTGTTCCATGGACAGCAAGGAGATCAAACCAGTCAATCCTAAAGGAAATCAACCCTGTACATTCATTGGAAGAACTGATGCTGAAGCTCCAATACTTAAGCCACCTAATGCAAAGAACTGACTCATTGGAAAAGACCGTGATGCTGGCAAAGACTGAAGGCAGGAAGAGAAGGGGACAACAAAGGATGAGATGGTTGGATGGCATCACCAACTCAATGCATATAAGTTTGAGCAAACTCCAGGAGATGGTAGCTGCAGTCTATGGGGTCAAAGAGTTGGACATGACTGAAGGACTGAACACCACCACCACTACCATCTAGAGAGAGAACATAAACATTCTAATCAACTAGCCACCGCATGTGGTTATCTGAAGTGTGCAGGATGGAGTGCCTGGATTAAATTTATTGTCTAACTTGTTGCAGCCTACTGGGTGCAAAAAATCCAAATATTCCACAGTGATAGTGCCAAAGTTCTCAGACTCTCCAGATCAAACACTGAAAAAATCCTGTACTGCTTGTTGACAAATGCCTCAGGAGGAGCCCTTCTCTCCTCTTCCATGTGAATGTGAAATGGCCCTTGCCCCAGGCAAAAATTCTGTTGAATATTCTTTCTGGAACAACCCCTCTCTCAAGGTACCAGAGACCGGCTTTGCAACAGGACTGTTGAATGACACCATTTCTTGAGTGGCCTCAGATCATAAAACATCTGAAGCCTTGTCTACACAGAAGACTGGATGGAGCTCATCACTTCCTCTTCTGCCTCCCCAGGTCCTACCATCCTACTCAGTCATATAGGTAGAACATCACACACACCTGGACTCTACTGCTCCCCATCCATCTAAACACCTCACCAAACTCGACCTCACATGTGGTTAGCTGCTTCTCTTGATGAGTTAAAATATCTTCTACAGCTTTTATGAAGCTGATAATCACTATCCTTTTTGCAAATAAAGATAAGTACCTCAAGTGTTTATCATTAAAAACAAAACATACAAATGCCACAATTAAAAAAAGCCTTTGACTGGATGAACTGAGATTTTTTTCCAGTTAGTAGATACAGAGAACCATGAGACTCAATATGCATCTATTCTTGGCTTGGTTTCTATAAGGTTAAGTTGGTATTAATTTGCAACAATTATTCATGGTTGAGGTCTCTGATACAAATATAATCCTCTCCTTATTTTTTGGCTATTGTTTTTATAAATTTTAAAAAATATATAACAACCTATTTTCCTTATTTTTGTTTTAATATTGATGAAATGTGTGCATTAATAAGAGAGAAATTTGATTATTTCATCATCTGTGATTACCTGTAGAATAGAATAATTAACCATAAAATGTGTTCCCCATTATTCTGTTTTTGGCTGCAAAAAACAGGATCTAGTTTCCCAACCAGGGACTGAAGTGGTGGCCCCCACAGTGGAAGCACAGACTCTTACCCAAAAGACCACCAGGGACATCTCTATTCCCCATTATTTTAAAATCAGGAAGGTAAATGGAGTAATCAACTAAATGCATACTGAACAGATCCCCCTCCTGTGTTTTCCTATGGAATTATTTTCAGCATCATTTATAGGAGTAGCTTTGAGAAAGGGGTACACAAACAGTGTGGTATCACCCCAAATCATGATAATAGCAAAAAGCAAGCATGAAAATAACAGGGTTTATCTTTTCAATAGGGCTTCCCTGGTGACTCAGACATTAAAGAATCCACCAACAATGCAGGACACCTGGGTTCAATCCCTGGGTCAGGAAGATCATCTGGAGAAGGGAACGACTGCCCACTCCAGTATTCTTGCCTGGGGAATTCCATGAACAGAAGAGCCTGATGGGCTACAGTACACGGGGTTGCAAAGAGTCAGACGTGACTGAGTGATTAACACACATCTTTTCAATACATTTAACAACTGCAACTTACTAGAACATGTGAAAGGATGTATTTTTCAAATATATCACTTCCGACATATATTTCCTGAGGTCTCCTTTCTTTCTCCTAATCTTTTCCTTTCCTTGTCATTTCTGGTAACTTTAGGAGAAGAAAAATCCTCTATTTTCTTTCTACATTAGTTCGAACATGATGAAATACTTTTAAGAACAGTATTAACAGAGTGGATACTCTGTGTTAGGAAGTATGTCGTGAACAAGACAGTAATGGTCCCTGTCCTCAGGGTGCTCACATCCGTCCTCCTTGGGCTAAAATGCAAAGTGCAGCTGACCCACCATCAGCTCCACTTGCCTTAAGGGCCAAATCTATTCTCAGGAGCCATAACTTTCAATCACCTAATATTAACAGTGAGAAATTCCACAAGAGAGTCTGCAGAGTTTCAGGGGTCTGGTTCATTGTGGTATAAATGGAAGACAGCCTGCACTGCCCTCCCAACCTGAGAGCCCTGGTACTCACTCGTACATTCCAGGCGTTTCACATCTCGTGACGTCTCTAAGAAATATCGCCGGAGAACAAAGAAAATGATGCCAAGGGGAATCACAGGAATACCAATCCAAGGAATTGCAGCCACCATCACACCCACCACACCAATCACAAGTAGAAATACCTGAAATAGTGAAAATACAGATTCCTTCATGTCAAGGATACTTTTCAAAGATAAACATTATTGATTTGTTAAGATTAAACTCCTTTCCTTGAAACTTGTTGAAACAGCAGGGAATGCTTTCCTTTCCAAAGAAATACAATTATAGGTGGTCTTCATGATGTTTACTGCATGCACCAAACACTCTGATAAGAACTTTCTAGGTATCAGCTCTTGTGATACACTCAGTAGCCCTTTGAGGCAGGCATTACTATTTTTAACAGACAAGACTATTTGAGACTCAGAGAGTAGGAGTTGCGTCTCAAACTATCAGGAGTCAGCAGGTGTTACTAGAGAGATGAGCGAGCATGTATCACAGATGAGGAATCCAGACACCACAGCTATCCATGTAAGGATAAAGAAGTAGTTAATTACAAATTCAGAGTAACATGTCTAGTAACAGTATTATCTAATTTTAGAAATAGAGACAGTGAGGCACAGGAAGAGGAAAAGCAACCTGATTGCCACTGCAAAGCCTGAGTCATGAAGCTGGCAAGCCTGTATCATGAGCCATTATGACATATTGAAGCTCATTTCCAACATACAGCCATCTTTCTATCATTATACTAAGTACTTAAAATGCCCATTCCAAAGGTTAATGATTATAACAACACCAGATTCCATTTACAATGTGCGTACTGTACATAAGACCCTGTGCTGAGTTCCATGAACATTCTCTTAATCACCACATGATTCTATGAGATGATTTTCTCCTAGGAAATGATCTTGGTCTAAAAAGACAGCAGGTAGAATGGAAAAGGAAATGGAAATGGAAAAGGTTGATGATGATTTAAGCATCCATATTTATCAGGAAAAGTATGATACCCTGGTGGACAGTATCAAGCAATAAGAATTCAATCAACATTTAGTGTCTGCCTGCTGTGAAAGTAGAGTGCGGTGATAGGGACTTGCAGATTCACCCAGTCTGGGCCAAAGCCTCTGAAGTTTATGATCTCAGATGGGAACAATACATGCTGATCTGCAAAGGGTGCTGGGGAAACACAGGAAAGAATACCTGAATATTTTGAGACAATTCCAAGACTTATGACTGATTTTACAGGCTGGTTTAACAAATAGAAAGAATGGCATGAATGATTTGTGGGCAGTAATCACAGTTGATCGAAATTTTGACCAAAATGGAGCTGGGATGAGAAGGTTGAGATGCTTGTCTGAGTTAACACTTGTTGTTCTTTACAGATAAGAAATATGTGGTTGGGAGGGTAAGTGGTTGTCCTAAAGTTTCCCAGGAAGGTATTGCTTATCCTGGAGAAATAGAGGAGCAGTTTGTACTCAGGGAATCATAGAGCCACAGCTGCAGGCAGAAGGAACAAACAACCATAACTGTGACTCTATGGCTAGGAGCCCTCGGGAACCAAACTGCATGATCGGGATGGAGGAGACCCATGTGCTTTTCCTGTTCCTCCCTGTCTCTGATGTGGTATCAAAAGAAAACTCAAGAGTGAAGAGGATGGATTCTGAAGGAATAAATTCTAATCATAAGTGGAGAAAACTAGGGCTGTCTGACCTCCCTCTAATTAGACCTATAGAAAACAATTTCTTACAGCCACTGGCTTGACTGTGCATCCCACCACACTACAACCTTCATGCTCATGGGGAAGGGTCCTTCTAGCTCCTTTAGGTCACTTGTTGTTTGTCAAAAAAAAACTAGTAAAATGTCAATTATAAAAAATCCAAATTACTGGTTTTTAGCAGACTTGCATCATTTGATGAACAATATTCACCCATTTCAATAATCTGGGTCTCCCCAGGTAGGTTCCCTGGTGGATCAGTCATTAAAGAATTTGACTGCTATGCAGGAGACCTGGGCTTGATCCCTGGGTCAGGAATGTCCCCTGGAAAAGGAAATGGCAACCCACTCCAGTATTCTTGCCTGGAACATCCCATGGACAGAGGAACCTGGCAGGCTAGACTTCATAGGGTTGAAAAGAGTCAGAGAAGACTGAGCGACTAAATCACTCCAGGTGAGGGCCTTTTATGACTAACCCAGCCTGGCAGGTAAGCTGGGAAGCAGAGGTAAGATCAAAATAAAGAGGTCCATGAAGCTGTGCCAATGCTTTTTCCTTAGGTACCCAATGAAGACAAATCACTAATGCTTTCAGAAGCACTGGAGTTGGGTTCAGATTTCATGACCCTAAATTCTAAAGCAATTTAAAGAGGATATCTCTAACAGTTTTATTATACACACACACACACAGCATATTGGTTTCCCTAGTGGCTCAGATGGTCAAGAATCTGCCTGTAATGCAGGAGACCCAGGTTTGATCCCTGGGTTTGGAAGATCCCCTTTAGAAAGGACTGGCAACCCACTCCAGTATTCTTGCCTGGAGAATTCCATGGACAGAGGAGCCTGTCAGGCTACAGTTCATGGGGTCCCAAACAGTTGGACATGACTGAACACTTTTATTTTTATATGTATATACATTTGAGAATCTTTTAATGCCAGCCATCTCAGACCCTTTATATAAGTTTGTAGAAGATCAAAATAGTATTTAAACAAAAAGTCAACATCTGAAGAAGGAAACAAAAGATCCTAGGGTACAATAAACACACAATAAATCCCTTCCGTGAAGCCAACCTCATTTCTTTCTTCTACATTCCCAGGAATTCCAAAAAGCTCAATTCAAGTTACACGCACAACTCCCTCCATCTGATTGCATTCCAGGCCCATCTGATGGACCACATCACCATGGCCAGTGCTTCTGCACCTCTGTCACACTATGGCACACAGACAGTGATAGGTTTATAGAAAGACACATACTGACCCAGAAGCAAGTGACCCAAGTCCTGATACCCCCCAAATAAGGAGAATCATTATTTTTATATATTTCCCATTTGGAGCACACTATTTGGGAAATTCTATCCAAAGTCTATGAATCCACATAAACAAATTAAAAATTCTCAGATGAAATCTTTCACTAGAGAGAAAATGGTGATTTTTCACAATTCAGAAAAATTCTTCAGTTTGCAGAGAATGACAATCTATACCTGGAGTAGAAATTCCATTAGCCCAATATTGTGCTGAGATAGGGCATCCCTGGTGACTCAGATGGTGAAGAATCTGCCTGCAATATAGGAGACCCGGGTTTGATGCCTGGGTTGGGAAGATCCCCTGGAGGAGGACATGGAAACCCTCTGCAGTATTCTTGCCTGAAGAATCCCCATGGAGAGAGGATCCTTGCAGCCTACATTCCATGAGGTTGTCAAGAGTTGGACACGACCGAGTGACTAAGCACACAAGCTTAACACTAACCGAGGGTCAGTGCTGAGTATTCAGGCAAGCAGATACAGTAGCTTGCACATCTCAGGAAGTTTAGAGATCAACTCTGGTTCTCAGATCCCTCCTTCATCACTTCTGTTTCCTCTGGTATCACCCAACTCATTGAACTCTGTAAATCAGGATATTATAAAACATTGGTGAGTCTTAGCTATATGATGAGATCTATACAAACCCTGGACTTCCCTGGTGACTCAGATGGTAAAGAATCTTCAATGCAGGAGACCCGGGTTCGATCCCTGGGTCAGGAAGATCCCCTGGAAAAGAGAATGGCACCCCACTCTATTATTCTTGCCTGGAGAATCCCATGGACAGAGGAGGCTGGCAGTCTACAGTCCTTGAGATTGCAAAGAATCGGACACAATTGAGCAACTAACGCGCGCTCACACACGTACAAAGCCTAAGACTAAGGTTTTCTAAACCTGCCCTTTACATGGGATTCATTAATCACATTCTTCATCCCTCATTTGGCTGCCTTGGATCTTTTCACAACCACATAAGCTTGGGACTGGGTATCCTTCAATTTGCTCCTAACTTAGAGTCATAGCTAACTCCACTGAAGAGTGCATGGCGCATGGTGGATTTTGGTTCATAGTTTGTTAACTAGCACAACAGGAAGCTTTAGGGGCACATGGTGTATTTCTTCTTTCACACTTAGTTGTATCTCATTGATTAATAGCTTCCTTTCCACTTTTCCACTTATTACAAAATTTAAGTCCACTTATTTGCTAATTTAACAAGGTATACCCTAAAAAGAAGGGCACTGTAAAAGTATATCACAGGGAAACTACTCAACATTCTGTAATAACCTATATGAGAAAAGAATCTAAAAAAGAATGAATGTACATGGATAACTGAATCACTTTTGGTGTACATCTGAAAGAAACACAACATTGTAAATCAACTATATTCCAACAAAATTAAATTTTTTTTAAAGAAAGAAGTCTTTAAAAAAGCTAAAAGTCAAGGGTTTTGAGATCTATCTTATATATAAAAAAATCAGCACATTAAAGTATGTAGAAGAATGAAAATAAGAAAAAAATTGACTCTTGAGAGTCCCTGGGACAGCAAGGAAATCAAACCAGTCAATTCCAAAGGATATCAATGCTGATAATTCACTGGAAAGACTGGAAGCTGAAGTTCCAATACTTTGGCCACCTGACGCAAAGAGCTGACTCATTGGAAAAGACTCTGATGCTGGGAAAGATTGAAAGCAGGAGGAGAAGGGGACAACAGAGGATGAGATGGTTGGAAGGCATCACCAACTCAATGGACATGAGTTTGAGCAAACTCTAGGAGATAGTAAAGGACAGGCAAGCCTGGTGTGCTACATTCCATGAAGCCACAAAAAATCAGACACAGCTGAGCAACTAAATGACAAAAGACCTGAATGAAAAAGAAAGCTAACTTCTAAGCAGAAAAATCAACAAACACAAAGCATGATTCTTTGAAATCACTACAAAATGCAAAAGAAAAAAAAAGGGAGGGAAATTTACCATACACATGAATTAAAAGAGGATAACACAAAAGATTGGGCTTCCCTGGTGGCTCACATCGTAAAGAATCTGCTTGCAATAAAGGAGACCCAGGTTTGATCCCTGGGTTGGGAAGATCCCCCGGAAAAGGAAATGGCAACCTACTCCAGTATTCTTTTTTTATTTTCCATTTATTTTTATTAGTTGGAGGCTAATTACTTTAC